AAATTTTAATAATTCTATTATTAAATTAAAAGTTTTTAATGCATATATTAAATTCATAATTTTTTTAAAAATTAAATCTATTTGATACTTCGTCTTATAATTTAAATAAATAAATAATTATAAAAATATTTTATACGTTAATTTGAATTTATATAACAAAATATCATATACTTTTCAATTTTTTTAAAGATTTATAGACTTGATTTATACATTTAAAATTTTTAATTCAACGTTAAATCATTAAAATTTGATGTAAAATATGAGTTATTAAATAAAATAAATTTACAAAAACTTATTTTTAGAGTAAGTAAATCTCTTTTGACGCACACATTTAAAACTTCTAATTCAACAGTTGAATCGTTAAAATTTGATGTAGAATATGAATTATTAAATGAAATACTCACACGTACTTTTTATCATGAAGTATTACTTTATGAAAAAAGAAAATTGTGAAATAAAATGGAGATAATAATTTTGAGGTACAAATATTTATTTCATACTTATAATTTTATAAATTTATAAGTTTTATTTTTTAATTTTTATAATTTTTATTAACATTTTTATTTTTTATCTTATAAGTTCATATATTTTATATTTTAGTCATAATAAATAAAAGACAAAAAACTATAATGAAATAAAAACAATATGTGTAAATTAAAATTAAATATTTTAATTATAAAATTATAAGAATCACATCAATATTTACATATAATTATTATTGACTTAAGTAAAGACATGTCTCTGTTATTGTTTTCTTTTCTTTTGGTTCTACTACGTGTCTGCTTTGTTGAGTAAAAGGAGTAACATATGTATTCATGATGAGTGGTGTTTTTTTAGAGAATCTTGAAAACAAGGTGACGAGTGTATTTTTTTTAATCAAAATAATCTTCCTATGATAAGTTTTAGTATAATGCATACTAAAATTCATGATGATAAATTAACCATAAGGCGGTGACATGTTCACTAATTAATAAATAATTTCAAATCATAATATTTATTCTTTGCTTTTATAGTTGAATTCATGAATACTATTTTCGTTGTTTTTACAAGATTAAATACGTGTATAAAATGTGTGAGTTTTGGTTTTACTTTCGGAAAAAACTATTTTTTTATCTTCTAAAATTTAGAATTATAATTTTTAATTTTTGTAAAATAAGTAAATTTTAATTTTGATCAAGAGTACATTTTTTTTATTTTTATTTTCATTCCTTTAAAATATAAAAATAATTTGATTCTTAACTTTTATTTTAAGGTAAATATATAATATTTATTTTACAGATTTATAAATAAATTTAGAAGTATCATATATTGACATGATAATATAGATAATTTGTGTCACCTAAAGTGGTCATTTAATCTTTATATATATATATATATATATATATATATATATACATATATATATATATATGAATTTACTAAGTAGTTTATATGAATTACAAAATAATAAAAACAAAAAAAATAATTTTAAAATTTAAATAATGATTATTTCTAACAAAAACAAACAAAAATTTACTTATTTTATAAGAATTAAAAATATATTTAAACATTTTTTTACACATATATTTTAACTTTTTTATACCACTATTTTTAGAAATTTTCCCGCATCTTCTTATAATCATTTCTTGCAAAGTTGTTTACCAAAATATCTTTAATTATTTTGTAATTTTGTAATAAATAAATAATAAATGTTTTATAAATTAATAGTAAGATAAATTAATTTTCCCTTTGCGATAATCAAAAGGAGAGCGAATTAATTTCGGGATACACGTAGTATATTCATTGATAATCTGATATCTTTTGCTTGATTTTATATTTAATTTTATCTATTTATATCCAATAATTACATTTAAGTAATTATGTTATATTTTGAATGTTTAATTGCATAAGTCTTATAATTGTGTAATTTTGGTTTTTAATGTTTTAATTTAGTAATTTTAATACTAAGTATTATAGTTATGTAATTTTGATCTTTTAATTTTTAATTTTTAATTTAATAATTTAATTCTTTAAGTATCGTAATTATATAATTTTAATCTCTTTTCTTAAAAATTTAATATATATATATATATAACATTTTAAATTATATAATTATTCATCTATTTAAGTTAAATTATATTATAATTTTTGTTAATGTATCAAATGATAAATATTTATTGTTATTATTAAATAAATAATAATAAAATATAAGATATATATATATATATATATATATATATATATATATATAATAGAAGAAATTTAATTAGAAATATACCATTCTCTCTTAGGTGAAGTATCATCTATAAATATCATCCTCTCTTCATTCATCGAAACATCTTTTTAAGGGTAAAACTGTAACAGGTCAATGAACGGCAGATAATATCTTATTTATAATAATTCTAATGAAATTAGTGTACTTTATTTAAGAGTCAATACCAAATGCTATTTATAAGCAACCTTCCCAATTACTCGAGACATTTTTTTTTAAGATAAAACTTTTATGATATAATGAGTATTAAAATAGACAATATTTTGATTGCAAACTCAAAATCGAAACAATCCTTATTTTTCATCTACTTTTTAATTAACCTACATATTTGCAATATGCATTTATTGTAGAATATAATTAAAAATACAATAGAAAACTTTAAGACTATTTATGAATAAAAAAATTATACTATATTATTTTAGCTTGTGGATAAAAATAATAAAAGACACTTAAAAAGAATTGGAGGTAGTATTGTATCAAGAATTAAGTGAGGAAACTTAAAACTCAGTTCTATTATCACTTTATTTTTTCAGGTGTGCATACTATAAGAAATGTCATAATAATGACATATAAAAAGTCTCATTATAAATATAATAAATATAAGTATAAATTTATTTGATATATAATTGTACATAATTTTAGTGTTGATTTTGAATGAGATTTAATAACATATATTATTTGTCATTATAGTCTATACCTACATTTTTTTTAATAATATACCAACATTTATTTTATCTATAATATAAGTAAAAGTAGTTTTAAGTGACAAGTATTATATTATTATGATTTTTTTTTTGTAGTGACATTGATTTGTATAAAAAAATTGATAGAATATTATTTTTAATATAAAATATTAGTGCTAAAAAATTTAATTAATCATTAATTATCTAATATAAAATAATCATGTATCAACATATTGCTTTAATGAATATGTATAAATTATTTATTAATATTGTATATTGAATTATTGTTATTCTCAAACTAATTTCATCTATATGGTCATTTTTTATTAGAAGTGTCAAATGGGTCAAGTTGTCTCAACCCAACCTAACTTACATAAACAAAATGTTATTTTAAGTTAGGTTTGGGCCATTGTGCCAAATTGACCTAATTAAAAAAAGTAAATCTATTTTTTACAATGAAAAAAAAATATATAATATCATTAATTA